TTGAAAGATACCGCGATACATCAAAATTAATAAACTCTCATCGCTCGAAAGGCAGCATTACCCGATAGAAATCAATTTGTGCTCAGTGGAATGATTGTCTGGTAAACTCAGTTATTTTCGGTGGATATGTAATGATGACGGGAAGACTGCAAAAATGAGATAATTGTTCTGAAATCTCGGAAGTAATATAAAAGAGATGAGTAATCCTCCACAGATAGTTATGATCGGTCCTGCATGACGAATTCCATGTGTCAATGTATATCAACATGAAATGCGGTGACTGGAAAATATATCTGTTGCTTTACATTTATATTTTGTGAACGAAATAAATTCGTGTATATAGCTCCACACAGGGTCAGTCAACCATGTACAGAACTTGAATAGTTCCACACAGGGTCAGTTAACCATGTACAGAACTTGCATAGCTCCACACAGAGTCAGTTAACCATGTACAGAGCTTGTATACACCCACACAGGGTCAGCCAACCATGTACCGAGCTTGTATACACCCACACTGGGTCAGTCAACCATGTACAGAACTTGCATAGTTCCACACAGAGTCAGTTAACCATGTAGAGAACTTGCATAGCTCCACACAGGGTCAGTTAACCATGTACAGAGCTTGTATACACCCACACAGGGTCAGCCAACCATGTACAGAGCTTGTATACACCCACACAGGGTCAGCCAACCATGTACAGAGCTTGTATACACCCACACTGGGTCAGTCAACCATGTACAGAGCTTGTATAGATCCACACAGGGTCAGTCAACCATGTACAGAGCTTGAATACGCCCACACAGGGTCAGCCAACCATGTACAGAGCTTGTATAGATCCACACTGGGTCAGTCAACCATGTACAGAGCTTGTATACACCCACACAGGGTCAGTCAACCATGTACAGAGCTTGTATAGATCCACACAGGGTCAGTCAACCATGTACCGAGCTTGTATACACCCACACAAGGTCAGTCAACCATGTACAGAGCTTGTATAGATCCACACTGGGTCAGTCAACCATGTACAGAGCTTGTATACACCCACACAGGGTCAGCCAACCATGTACAGAGCTTGTATAGATCCACACTGGGTCAGTCAACCATGTACCGAGCTTGTATACACCCACACTGGGTCAGTCAACCATGTACAGAGCTTGTATACGCCCACACAGGGTCAGCCAACCATGTACAGAGCTTGTATAGATCCACACTGGGTCAGTCAACCATGTACAGACCTTACGTAGCTCCACACAGGGTCAGTTAAATGTGTACATAACTGATACAGTTGGTTAACAGACCCTGTGTAGAGCTATACAAGTTCTGTACTTGGTTACGGCCTGAACATCATGTGACGAGTCTGTCCCCCGGAATGTACTATGCACTGGGATCGCACAGACGCTTCAGCGCGTACATCACTGAGATGTTAGAGATGTGTTTCGCCCATTAATGAGATATTACCGCAATTGATGTATGTTCGAACGAACTGCGCGGCGTCAAACAAGACGCACTCCTGCTGATGACGCCACCACAGGCATGTAACTTTCTCACCCTCTCGCTTGGGTGCACAGGCGGTAACACCTCCCCCATCCGCAGCCCCCACCCCTCATTTCTGGGCTAAAATGGCTTCCCCGAGAACGATAAAACTAATTTTACGTACTTGTCACATCGACGTCTGCTGTGAAAACAGCGGACATTTCAGCAAGTTCGTGGCATGTTTATAGTTTTGTCTCGGAAATCTTCCAGCGCCACGCTGTGTGTCGACGATTCGGACAGGGAACGAATGTTCATTTCGTCCCTACAATATTATAATGTTTCCCCTACTCTACATGTAAATAGAGTATGAAACAGTATCAAATGTTCATGTTCCGGGTTGTTTTTCAACCACCCTGCTACTGCACGGTCTATCTTTGAAAGAGCGCTTTATCTCAATACACTTAACTACCCGTTCTTCATCCAACATCTCATCTTTCTTCCTATGTCACTGTCAGCATTCGTCGTATCACTATATCTATACTTTAGAAATAAAACTATTTACAAGTCTCCACGTGACGACACGGTAATTAATTAAACCGAAATCTATCGGGCACAAACTTAAGTGCTTTATGAAGCCAAACACCAATATTTGAATGAAATGTAGCTATATGTTCCCGAATTAATTTATTTTAAATCGCCCTTCGTTTTAAGAGAATAACCCAGGTCATACAGCAAGTAAAACCACATGCATCATCCAATGTGACTGAAAAACGTGGTTATGAAAGACCATTTCCAGTAATTTGTGGCATTCTGTGGCCCCCTACTGATGTTGAATGCACACACTGATTAGTAGTTAATTACATAGCAATTATCTTCAAGTGGTGCAGTTAGTGACCTTGGTCCCGTTGTATTTGTTTGATTAACTTTGCTGATGTTTCGACAGATTGTTCACATACCGCCGGAATGCGTGTTGACTTGGGCGTGACGTTCTGAACATGGCGACAAGGGTAACCAAACCCTTTGCCAGCTTAGTCTAAATGAATAGAATCATCTCGTTGAATGTTTTACAAGGCGCTTTTTTATTTTTTTCATAAATGTATATGAAACGTTAGCACATGTCTGGTGATAAAGGATCAGCAGCATCATGGCTCGTACCCCGCTATTTGAAGTATTTCACCCCCACCCTCATCGCTGTATAATTTTTTTAAAAGGCCCCAGGAATTCGGTGTACTTTGAACTTTATTCAGATATGAAACACATATCTGTGACTTAAACTTCTTTAGAGCACAAAACACGTGTGGTTACAATCAATTGTCTGCTAATCAACCCCATCTACTGTATGTTACTCCTTGTTTGTTGTTTGACGAGACGAGGTAAACCAGTGATTGATATAATGAGCATCGATCCACGTAATTGGGATACGATGACATCCATCAACCAAGTCGGCGAGCCTGGCCAACCGATCCCGCTAGTGGCCTCTTACGACAAGCATGGGTTGCTGAAGACCTTTTCTAACCCGGATCTTCACGGGTGTGTATATTATATTACTGGCGAAATTAGCCTTCAAGCCTACATTCCAAGGACAGTATTGCTATCTTCTGGTGACAAGGTAAAGGACGGGTTTGCCAAGGGGAGGTTTGTGGAGACACATGTTAATGGTCTGTGTGGGCTGGTTTCAATATTATGTACAGGTGTTATCCAATAGACTAAAATTAGTCTATGAAAACATTTCTTTAAATTAATTTTATTTTATTTTCAAAATAATCTTTCCTCTTCTGCTGTTTTCATGTTTTCTGATATGGACTCAGGGAACCTAGACTTGGTTTAGTTTGATCTAGACTTGCATATTTATTCCACAGTCATGGCTCAGGGCTAGTTTTCCAACAACGAGGTAGCATCTAAGTAACAGCCAAAATTCCATTTGAGGAAACCTGATATTGTGAGTGTTACTCACATCCACTGGTGCTGATGTGTAGATTATTTCTTCACCAACCGTGTATGATTAAGTTATCATATGATGGACAATAAAATTACCTCAAAATAAAAACAGCTATATTTGTGACCTCTAGTCTAATAACCGGATGTTCCCGAAACCCGCATGTCATATTTAAAGCAGACGATAGTTGGAAGCGATTGTGATTCCTCGACAACATGCTGAAACACGCGGTCAGTTATACATCATGTCCTGTGTCTCTCTATGGCTGGAAGGTCATACATAGGGGGCGCTATTTATCAGGACCCGCCATAGGTTTACCTCAAATACCATAGTTGCTTTGATTGCATGTACAACTAGGAGCCGTTAAGGGCAGAATAAAATGTGAAGTCGTATTGATAAGGGTGTCACCTCGAAGGTAGTCTGTCGCACAGTCCCTGAACCGTAGTATTTTCCCTTTTGCCCAGCTCTTACTGTGATGATATAGGCCTAAACAGAGACCATATACCGATTTATGGTCTCTGACCTAAAAATGAAGCAAGTCTAGATTTTCCTCACGTTCATGAATCTCCCATCTCACCGAGTCTCCTTTTCAATTTAAAGGGAGTTGTTTGTTTCTATCAAGCGTTAGTCTACCGAAGAGGTTCATTAGCCCTTGAATACAGTTAACAAAATACCCTTCATGTTGAAGAAGGCAGGGGACACGGAATGTTTTGGAAGGTGCTATGGGTTTTTAAAGTCGTTAATCTCGGTTTATGGTATTCGCCCATTTGCCAGATGTTTTCAACAGCTTGGATTTCACTCGGGTATCACTGCAGACATGCCTGAAGTCGCAGCGCATGCGCCGGTACATGTCTGGCGACTCCCAGCACTCTCAACACGTACGTGGCTTTTTTTGCTTTACCGGAAAATTATGCAAACGTGGCGAAACGCCACATCATGACAGCAGACAGCACTTCGCATGTCTATATTCATATGTCTGATCTGATCGTCTGCTCAGGCTTGAAACAAAGGAGGAGAGGGATGAGGCGTGTCATCAAACATTATTTCCGTTAATGTCTGAAGACTCTTGTGCTCATGCCGCAACTCCCTTATTTCTCAGAAATTGCAAAGCCTACTTGTCAGCCATTAGTGCTATTGTTAGTGGCAGACATTGACTTAGTAACACAATTCTCGCTGACAGTTGGAGATGTTTGGTGCCTAAACTCGGAAGAGGCAGCGAAAAACGCGCCATTAATTAGGGAATGGTTAAAACAGCAGTGAAAGCCGACTCAGGCAAATTAAAAGATGACAGGAGTATTTCACGGATCAGGATATCACGTATCAACTGGCAGATGTTGGCTTCTGTATGACTGACGTCTGAGTGCTTGAGAAGCAAGTCGAAATTCTTCGTGCACCTTACCTCATCCACATACATACTGCACAATTAACCCCAAGAACAAACTCTTGTTCGAAATTCACAAAATCAATTCCAATTTATAAGAATATACATTTGATTAATTTGAATAATATATCTGTGATTGTATGATTGGAGTGTATTATTGATTGGCGCCAGGCCTTGAGAGTAGGTTATGCTGTGCTAGGCATGGGAGGAGGGATGTACCCACGTAGCTTCTCAATAAGTGTGGCGTACACTTGACTGGGGCATTTGCCAGGCCAGCGTCTAACTACAGCGGAGCGAGAGGGTCTATCTGATGTCTCTATCTGACTTATGTTTTGGACATACTGGAGTACTTATCCCTAAGAATCCACTGACGCCGAACACTTGTTGACCCCGCTGTCAGATTGAGATATATGGAACTATCTGCTTACTGAGGGTAAGTGCTGGTTCCTCTCTGTCACTATGAGTTTCAGCGGCGTCATCTAGAGGAGCCGCTATGTAAGTACGTGCATGTACTATGTATGTCATCAGACTTAACCACTGTAGGACGCCTTGTGCGAATGGGATTTTTAACATGAAAGGCTATTAAACACTGATATGTAAGTCACGCTTAAAATAGGTTATGAAACGCTAATCCGAGTCGGTAGACTAGTTAAACTTGGGGTTCCGAAGATCGATGCTGATGTTGGTACCGGCGGACTATAGACCATGTTGCTTGTGCCGTGTTGTCATCGTGTCAAGGAGTGGTGTATCATACAGAGTATTTACACAGTGTAGGGTGTGCTGGTAGTCTTTATCACAGTCCCTCACCCATAGTATTTTCCTTTCCGCCCAGCCCTTTCGTTTTGTCATACAAAAGTCCAAATGAAGCAAGTCTAGTTTTTCCTCAATTTCAAATCTCCCATCTCACTGGGGCTCCTTACCAATTTAAATGGAGTTTTTTGTTTTTATCAAAATTATATGTTTGTGTCGTGTGTCAATATTAGTGTCCTACTGCGACTGGTTTAGCCCATTTCTTGTGCTATTTCTGGTGGAATATTGCTAAAAGAGGTGTAAAACCACACTCACTCATTCACTCACTCACCCAATAGTGACTGACAGTGAAGGTCGCAGTAGGTTCCCCCAGCTCTGTTCTGTGTGCCCTACATGAGCACAGCTGGTGCATCTCAAGTCCATGATGTAACCTAGCTTTGTTTTATATCCGGTTCCCTCAATACTATGCGGTTGGTGTATTGTCGGCCCCGTCTGTCGGCTGTAGTTGGTGTATTGTCAGCCCCGTCTGTCAGCTGTAGTTGGTGTATTGTCAGCCCCGTCTGTCAGCTGTAGTTGGTGTATTGTCGACCACGTCTGTCAGCTGTAGTTGGTGTATTGTCGGCCCCGTCTGTCGCCTGTAGTTGGTGTATTGTCGGCCCCGTCTGTCAGCTGTAGTTGGTGTATTGTCAGCCCCGTCTGTCAGCTGTAGTTGGTGTATTGTCGGCCCCGTCTGTCAGCTGTAGTTGGTGTATTGTCGGCCCCGTCTGTCGCCTGTAGTTGGTGTATTGTCGGCCCCGTCTGTCAGCTGTAGTTGGTGTATTGTCAGCCCCGTCTGTCAGCTGTAGTTGGTGTATTGTCGGCCCCGTCTGTCAGCTGTAGTTGGTGTATTGTCGGTCCCGTCTGTCGCCTGTAGTTAGTGTATTGTCGACCACGTCTGTCAGCTATAGTTGGTGTATTGTCAGCCCCGTCTGTCAGCTGTAGTGGGTGTATTGTCAGCCCCGTCTGTAAGCTGTAGTTGGTGTATTGTCGGCCACGTCTGTCAGCTGTAGTTGGTGTATTGTCGGCCACGTCTGTCAGCTGTAGTTGGTGTATTGTCAGCCCCGTCTGTCAGCTGTAGTTGGTGTATTGTCGGCCCCGTCTGTCAGCTGTAGTTGGTGTATTGTCGGCCACGTCTGTCAGCTGTAGTTGGTGTATTGTCGGCCCCGTCTGTCAGCTGTAGTTGGTGTATTGTCAGCCCCGTCTGTCAGCTGTAGTGGGTGTATTGTCAGCCCCGTCTGTCAGCTGTAGTTGATGTATTTTCAGCCCCGTCTGTCGGCTGTAGTTGGTGTATTGTCGGCCCCGTCTGTCAGCTGTAGTTGGTGTATTGTCGGTCCCGTCTGTCGCCTGTAGTTAGTGTATTGTCGACCACGTCTGTCAGCTGTAGTTGGTGTATTGTCAGCCCCGTCTGTCAGCTGTAGTGGGTGTATTGTCAGCCCCGTCTGTCAGCTGTAGTTGGTGTATTGTCGGCCCCGTCTGTCGCCTGTAGTTAGTGTATTGTCGACCTCGTCTGTCAGCTGTAGTTGGTGTATTGTCGGCCCCGTCTGTCGCCTGTAGTTGGTGTATTGTCGGCCACGTCTGTCGCCTGTAGTTGGTGTATTGTCGGCCCCGTCTGTCAGCTGTAGTTGGTGTATTGTCAGCCCCGTCTGTCGGCTGTAGTTGGTGTATTGTCGGCCCCGTCTGTCGGCTGTAGTTGGTATATTGTCGGCCCCGTCTGTCAGCTGTAGTTGGTGTATTGTCGGCCGTGTCTGTCGGCTGTAGTTGGTGTATTGTCGGCCCCGTCTGTCGGCTGTAGTTGGTGTATATGTCGGCCCCGTCTGTCGCCTGTAGTTGGTGTATTGTCGGCCCCGTCTGTCGCCTGTAGTTGGTGTATTGTCGGCCCCGTCTGTCGCCTGTATTTGGTATATGTCGGCCCCGTCTGTCGCCTGTAGTTGGTGTATTGTCAGCCCCGTCTGTCGGCTGTATTTGGTATATGTCGACCCCGTCTGTGGGCTGTAGTTGGTGTATTGTCGGCCCCGTCTGTCGCCTGTAGTTGGTGTATTGTCGGCCCCGTCTGTCGCCTGTATTTGGTATATGTCGGCCCCGTCTGTCGGCTGTAGTTGGTGTATTGTCAGCCCCGTCTGTCAGCTGTAGTGGGTGTATTGTCAGCCCCGTCTGTCAGCTGTAGTTGATGTATTTTCAGCCCCGTCTGTCAGCTGTAGTTGGTGTATTGTCGGCCCCGTCTGTCAGCTGTAGTTGGTGTATTGTCGGTCCCGTCTGTCGCCTGTAGTTAGTGTATTGTCGACCACGTCTGTCAGCTGTAGCTGGTGTATTGTCAGCCCCGTCTGTCAGCTGTAGTGGGTGTATTGTCAGCCCCGTCTGTCGCCTGTAGTTAGTGTATTGTCGACCTCGTCTGTCAGCTGTAGTTGGTGTATTGTCGGCCCCGTCTGTCGCCTGTAGTTGGTGTATTGTCGGCCACGTCTGTCGCCTGTAGTTGGTGTATTGTCGGCCCCGTCTGTCAGCTGTAGTTGGTGTATTGTCAGCCCCGTCTGTCAGCTGTAGTTGGTGTATTGTCGGCCCCGTCTGTCGGCTGTAGTTGGTATATTGTCGGCCCCGTCTGTCAGCTGTAGTTGGTGTATTGTCGGCCGTGTCTGTCGGCTGTAGTTGGTGTATTGTCGGCCCCGTCTGTCGGCTGTAGTTGGTGTATATGTCGGCCCCGTCTGTCGCCTGTAGTTGGTGTATTGTCGGCCCCGTCTGTCGCCTGTAGTTGGTGTATTGTCGGCCCCGTCTGTCGCCTGTATTTGGTATATGTCGGCCCCGTCTGTCGCCTGTAGTTGGTGTATTGTCAGCCCCGTCTGTCGGCTGTATTTGGTATATGTCGACCCCGTCTGTGGGCTGTAGTTGGTGTATTGTCGGCCCCGTCTGTCGCCTGTAGTTGGTGTATTGTCGGCCCCGTCTGTCGCCTGTATTTGGTATATGTCGGCCCCGTCTGTCGGCTGTAGTTGGTGTATTGTCGACCACGTCTGTCGCCTGTAGTTGGTGTATTGTCGGCCACGTCTGTCAGCTGTAGTTGGTGTATTGTCGACCACGTCTGTCAGCTGTAGTTGATGTATTGTCGGCCCCGTCTGTCAGCTGTAGTTGGTGTATTAGCGGCCCCGTCTGTCGCCTGTATTTGGTATATGTCGGCCCCGTCTGTCGCCTGTAGTTAGTGTATTGTCGACCTCGTCTGTCAGCTGTAGTTGGTGTATTGTCGGCCCCGTCTGTCGCCTGTAGTTGGTGTATTGTCGGCCACGTCTGTCGCCTGTAGTTGGTGTATTGTCGGCCCCGTCTGTCAGCTGTAGTTGGTGTATTGTCGGCCCCGTCTGTCAGCTGTAGTTGGTGTATTGTCGGCCCCGTCTGTCGGCTGTAGTTGGTATATTGTCGGCCCCGTCTGTCAGCTGTAGTTGGTGTATTGTCGGCCGTGTCTGTCGGCTGTAGTTGGTGTATTGTCGGCCCCGTCTGTCGGCTGTAGTTGGTGTATATGTCGGCCCCGTCTGTCGCCTGTAGTTGGTGTATTGTCGGCCCCGTCTGTCGCCTGTAGTTGGTGTATTGTCGGCCCCGTCTGTCGCCTGTATTTGGTATATGTCGGCCCCGTCTGTCGCCTGTAGTTGGTGTATTGTCAGCCCCGTCTGTCGGCTGTATTTGGTATATGTCGACCCCGTCTGTGGGCTGTAGTTGGTGTATTGTCGGCCCCGTCTGTCGCCTGTAGTTGGTGTATTGTCGGCCCCGTCTGTCGCCTGTATTTGGTATATGTCGGCCCCGTCTGTCGGCTGTAGTTGGTGTATTGTCGACCACGTCTGTCGCCTGTAGTTGGTGTATTGTCGGCCACGTCTGTCAGCTGTAGTTGGTGTATTGTCGACCACGTCTGTCAGCTGTAGTTGATGTATTGTCGGCCCCGTCTGTCAGCTGTAGTTGGTGTATTAGCGGCCCCGTCTGTCGCCTGTATTTGGTATATGTCGGCCCCGTCTGTCGCCTGTAGTTGGTGTATTGTCGGCCCCGTCTGTCGGCTGTATTTGGTATATGTCGACCCCGTCTGTCGGCTGTAGTTGGTGTATTGTCGGCCCCGTCTGTCTCCTGTAGTTGGTGTATTGTCGGCCCCGTCTGTCGGCTGTAGTTGGTGTATTGTCGACCACGTCTGTCGCCTGTAGTTGGTGTATTGTCGGCCCCGTCTGTCAGCTGTAGTTGGTGTATTGTCGGCCCCGTCGGTCAGCTGTAGTTGGTGTATTGTCGGCCCCGTCTGTCAGCTGTAGTTGGTGTATTGTCGGCCCCGTCTGTCAGCTGTAGTTGGTGTATTGTCGGCCCCGTCTGTCGCCTGTATTTGGTATATGTCGGCCCCGTCTGTCGCCTGTAGTTGGTGTATTGTCGGCCCCGTCTGTCGGCTGTATTTGGTATATGTCGACCCCGTCTGTCGGCTGTAGTTGGTGTATTGTCGGCCCCGTCTGTCGCCTGTAGTTGGTGTATTGTCGGCCCCGTCTGTCAGCTGTAGTTGGTGTATTGTCGACCACGTCTGTCGCCTGTAGTTGGTGTATTGTCGGCCCCGTCTGTCAGCTGTAGTTGGTGTATTGTCGGACCCGTCGGTCAGCTGTAGTTGGTGTATTGTCGGCCCCGTCTGTCAGCTGTAGTTGGTGT